TATCGCTGTTCATCTCTCCTTTGCAAAGAGTCCCTTTAGTACTTCTTCCAGGGCTGTGTTATTGGTCATGATATCCTTTAGTTTTTGTTTGTCTGGGCAACTCTGTATCTTTCTTTCTATTCTGATAGCCTTGCTGTGGAGTTTCTAGGTGGCAGATTTTTCCATTCAGCTCTTTGAATATATGATGCCACTCCCTTCTGGCTTACCACGTTTCTGTTGAGAAATCTGCACCTAGCCTGATGTATCTTCCCTTGTAAGTTAAGGACTTCTTTTGTCTTGCTGCTTTTAACATTTTTAACTAATCACTCTATTTTTCAAATGTAATTACAATATGTCTTGGTGTTGGCCTGCTTTTGTTGATTTTGATGGGAGTTCTCTGTGTCTCCTGGTTCTGAATGGTTGTTTTCGTCCCCAGATTGGGGAAGTTTTTAGCTATTATTTTCTCAAATAAACTTCCTGTCCCCTTTTCTCTCACTTCCTCTCCTGGGATTCCTATGATACAAGTGTTATTATGTTCAATGCTGTCACTGAGTTCCCAAAGCCTTTTCTCATGATCCATAGTTCATCTTTCTCTCTTTTGTTCAGCTTCATTATATTCCATCATTCTATCTTTATACCACTCATTCATTCTTCTGCTTCTTCCATCCTTGTGGTCATTCCATCCAGCCAGTTTTGAATCTCAGTTATTGTCTTTTTCATTTCTGTCAGGTTGGTTTTTAACTCTTTTATCTCTGGGGTAAGGGTCCCCTGAACTCTTCCACTCTTTCCCTAGCCCAGTGAGTATTCTTATGCTTGTTGCTTTAAATTCTCCCTCACTCATGTTACTTATATCTGTTTTGCTTCGATCTCTGGCCACAACCTTATCTTGTTTTTTGCATTTGGGATGAATTCCTCCATGTGACATTTTGTCTAGGTCTCTGCCTTCATCTGTATGTGAGAATAGATAGCCAGTTATGATTCCTGCTTCTGAGAGCAATGGCTTTATGAAGAAGAGGTCATGTAGTATCCAGGGCCTGGCACTTCAGTGAGTGTCTCTGGTGTGTGTTGTGTGCACTCTGCTGGAGTGTTTTGGCTGATCTATCCTTCAGAGTAGTTGTCTGCAGAGGCTCTCTCTGCCTGCAGTGGTCAGTGTGTGGTCCTTTGCCAGAATGTGGTGAGTTTTAAGTACGTGTGCTCTAGCCTGCTTGTTAGATGAGACCTGATACTACCTGAACTGGAACTGAAACCCTGAAGAACTCTCTGGCTGGGAGATGTGGTGTGGGCAGGGGTTTCTCCTGGTCTTCTGGGAAGGGGCCCTCTGCACTGGGACTGGAGCAAGTTTGACTGAGAAGGATAGTCTCTCCAGTGTGCAGGGGTGTGGGGCTTGGTGTAAGCAGGTTAGGCAGCCAGTGTGGGTGCTGTGTTGCTTCCTGCAGGTGGCTCTGTGTTTATGCTGTGGGTCAGGGGAGGGAAATAGCTCCAGCCAGCTTCTTTGTCCCCAGAGCAGCATCTCCATGAATACTGGCTCTCAGGGACACACTAGGAGAAAAACAAACAAACCCTCCCACTGTGTGTCCCAGGTGCTTCTCAGATCACCGTTTCCACACTGTCTGCCTTCAGGTCCTTTGCTTGCCTTCTCTTCAGGAGCAGGGCAGTGCCCACCAAGTCTATTCCAGCCAAGCCCACTGACCTCTAGAACTTCAGCCTTTAAGCCCCCTTGGTTGCAAGAACTCACGAAATTCAGCCACTCTCATTTTCCAGGCCAGTGGCTTTGGGGATGCATTCTCTTTATGTGTTCCCCTGCATGCTCCTCTCTCTTACCCTTCTCTGTGACCACAGCTCCCTCCCCTCTGCAGCACCCAGGATTCTTTTCTCCCCTAATCCATGGATCCCCACTTCCTTACCTTTTTTTTTTTAATATTTTATTTATTTCTTTGACAGAGACGGATCACAAATAGGCAGAGAGGCAGGCAGAGAGAGAGGAGGAAGCAGGCTCCCTGCCGAGCAGACAGCCCAATGTGGGGCTTGATCTCTGGACCCTGAGATCATGACCTGAGCCGAAGGCAGAGGCTTTAACCCACTGAGCCACCCAGGCGCCCTTCCTTACCTTTTTTGATGTGGCCTCTTTTCCCCCTTTAGTTGTGGAGTTTGTTCTGTCAGTCTTCAGGTCTCTTTCTGGGGTATTTAGGATGATTTGATAATTATCTAGTTCTGATTGTGTGCGAGGTGGGCAGAACATTCCCCTACTCTGCTGTCATCTTGTCTTCTCCTACTCATGGCTTTTTTATTTTTGAGCCACTCTCTGTGTCCCTGTGCCTGATTCACTGTCCCCATCTCTTCATTTTTGGCCTTGCCTGCCTATTTGTGTGTTTCTGTTTCTGGGTATCCCCAGGTTTATTTTTATTCTGTGTCTTTGCCTCCCTGCGTGTCTGGATAGATTTCCTTGTCACTGTGTCTCTGCCCATTTGTTTATGTTCTGTGTGTCCGTTCCTATGTGTCTAGGTTTCTTTGTTCCTATCTTGATCCTTCCAGACATGATCCTGTGTATCTGTTCCCATTTCTAACTTGTATCCATATGGCTGTGTTTGTGGGTTCACATCCCCATGTCTACTTATTCTGGAATGTGTGTGTGTGTGTGTGTGTGTGTGTGTGTGTGTGTGTGTGTCTTTCTCTCACTCCTTTTCTAAATTCTTGTGTCCCTATATCACAGTGTCTCCATTGTACCTGGGCCTCCAGCTTGCCTGTATTTATGCCTCTCTGTTACCTAACCTAACCCTAACCCTTATGTCTCGGCTGGTGTTTGTCACAGTTTGGGTGTCTGCTTTCCCATGCTTTTGTCACTGGATCTCTGTGTATATAAATTTGTGCTCCAATTTGACTCTTGGTGTGCTCCTCTGCATGCGCCCATGTCCTTGGGTCTTTGTTACCAAGTCTTGGTATAAGTAACATCTCTGTTTCTATGATTTTGTAGGTCTGTGGTCTTGTGTCTCTGTTTTCTTCTCCCATCCCCTATCCCATTTCTGTAAGTTACCATGTCAGCATGTCTCTATGCCTCTACTTCTTCAACCTTGGTGTATTGGGCTATGGTTTTGACCTATGTCTCCCTGGTTACTTCTGTGTCCCTGTGTCTCTATGTGTCACGGTGTGTCTCGTCTCCTCTGCTTTTGTGTCTGGTCTTTGTGAATATCTCTGTCTCTCTCTCTTGCTCACTTTCTCTCTTCTTAAGACTTTATTTTTTTTTTCAGTAGTTCAAGGAAAATTTTCTTTTCTTTTCTTTTCGAATTTTTATTTAAATTCTAGTCAGTTAACATGCAGTGCAATATTGGTTTCATGAATAGATTTCAGTGATTCATCACTTACATACAACACCTAGTTTTTGTTTGTTTGTTTTGTTTTGTTTTTGAGATCATCTCTACATCCCAACGTGGGGCTTGAACTCACAATCCCGAGATCAAGTGTCACGTGCTCTACTGAGTGAACCAGCCAGGAGCCCCAGAAAAACTACTTAAATGACTGAGGGAATTACAGATATTTGATGAAGTCTGGAGTGGTTGGAGGAGGGTGGGAAGGACATCTGAGCCAAGGTCTAAGTTGTGATCTAGAATTTGAGTGGCAATGCAAAAGATGAGCATGGTAGACAGGGGCCAGGGCAGGTAAGGTCAGAGCGATTATCAAATAGAACAGCTTGAGAGAGGTCCCTTAGTGGAGATGGGGTTGAGGCAGGGCCCATTAGGGAATGGAGAGGAGGCCAGGGTCAGGGGGTGGATAGAGTTCAGAGAGCAAGTGGGAAAAAGTGAGGTCAGAGGGGTATAGGATAGAGGGCAGATCACGTAGGGCCTTGTCGGGTATAAAAAGAAATTTGGGCTTCATTCTAGGTAAGATGGGAAACTCTTGAGGGGGGTTAAGTGGGAGCGGGACATGAAGTAATCTTTGTTTTTAAATAATCCTTTTGCTGCTGAGGAAGGATGGCAAAAAACAAAAAAAGAAGAAGGGAAGAAAAGAAAGGAAGGAAGGAAAGAAAGCAAGAAAGAAAGAAAGAAGGAAAAAATTATCCCAAGAGAGGGAGCAGGGAGACCAGTGAGGAGACTGGAACAGTTTTCTAGGGTAGACATGATTGTAGTCTGCCCTAAGATAGTGACAGTTGGGGTGGTGAGAACTGGGTGCATTTGGCAAATATGTCAGAGGCAACATTGCCAAGAATTGAAGATGGATGGGATATTGGCGGGTGGTGAAGGGAAGGGGCATGTCAAGGACCTCATGCCCAAATTTGTATCCCTGTGACTTACTGCCACCACCAACTGGTTCTAATCCTGTCCCATAATGTCTCCCAAGAAATGTTGCTCTCCTTAGGAAGAGAGAACAGTGGAGTGGTGGAGCACATTCAGTCTGCAACCAAATGATGTAGGCCCAAATCTCTTACTAGTTGTGTGACATGGAATAAGTTACTTCAGTTCCCTGCACTTCAGTTTCCCCATGAGTAAAATGCAGGTATCCACAGGTTGTGTGTGTGTGAGTGTGTGTATGTATGAAATGAGGGACTAAAAGAGTAATATATAGACAAGTACCTGCACATACGAAGGACTAAAAAATGTTAACCTTTGTTACTTCACAGTCTTTAGGAAATTTAAGGATAATTGTTATCTTTTCCAATTTGTGTACCCCTCTCCTTAAGCAGGGCTGTATATAGAGCACAAAAGAACTAATCAGACCTGCCTTACCCAGTGATGCCTCCACTTAGAACCCTGTATCCCTACCCTGTCTGGGAAACATGAGCAATTCTCTTGTCCAACAAAGCAAATGTCAAAACCACAGCTTGATCAGTTTCTTTCTGTTTTGCTTTCCCAGTCTTAATATCCCTCCTCTCTCGGGGCCTCTAATTCTGTGCTTAGGTTCTAAGGCCCAGAGAGGTTAAGTAGCTGATTCAAAGTCTCAAAGAAAGCAAACAGGCAACTGTCATCACTAGAATCTGCAGAAGCTTTGTACATTCCTAGTTCCCGGAGCTCTCCATTCTTACCTCCTCCTCATGGCTTGACCTCTTGCCCGTGGCACTCACCATCTTCATCAGGAGTGAGGAAGGTATAGAAAGCTGGTGTGCTCAAGGACTCCATGATCATGGACTCCATCATTGACTTAGACAGCAGCTCTAGCTCCTCAGGGAGATGGAGCAGGCTGGCCACCTCAGGGAGGATGCTAGAAGGCAGCAAGACTGGCACGTTTGGGGGCTGCCTTCTGGCATAGGCCTGGAGCTGCTGGAGAGGCCCATTGTTGGGACTTCTGACACAGGTAGTCCCAGAATTTGCCTGGTGTTTTGGGGCCCCAGCAGCAGATCCTGCTGAAGCCAGAGCTTTCTCAGGGCAGCAGAAAGGGCAAGGTGGAGTCAAAGGGAATTGGAAGGGGTACTCCAAAGACAGAGGTGGTCATGGTCTTGCTGGGACTTGCAGGACTTGAGGTTGTGCTTGTGAATGTGTTTGGATCCTGAGGAGGTAGGGGCATTGGTCTGGCAGGTCTCGGGGGTAACGGGGTTTTGGGTTTATTGGGGATTGGGGTCCAAGGTTTGGAAAATGATAAGCTTGGGTAATTTGGGGGAGTTGGGGTATTAGAGTTAAGAGGTGTTGGGACTGGGGTGCCTGGGTGGCTCAGTGGGTTAAAGCCTCTGCCTTTGGCTCAGGTCATGTTCTCAGGGTCCTGGGATCGAGCCCGCATCGGGCTCTCTGCTCAGCAGGGAACCTGCTTCCTCCATCTCTCTCTGCCTGACTCTCTGCCTACTTGTGATCTCTGTCTGTCAAATAAATAAATGGGATCTTTTAAAAAAAAAAAAAAGAGGTGTTAGGATTTTAGGAATGTTAGGTTAAGAGGATGCTGGGTTTAGGGTGTGACAGATTGGGGTCTTGTGAGCAGGAACCTTTGGTCTAGTTTTGTGATAGGTGTTTGAAGATCTGAAGCATGGAGACTCCAGGATTGGCCTGTGGCAAGCTTTTGGGTGACTGTGATGTGAGTACCCCAAGTTGGGAATGTGATAGAGCATCCAGTTTGGGTTGTGATGGAACACCAGGTTTGGAGGACAGTGGAATATCATGTTTCACAATGCCAGCTTTGGGCTGGGATGGGGTGCTAGGATTCAGAAGTGGGACTTATGTCTTGGCAGTCATGGGTAATAGGGTACCAGGATTCTGGTGTGATGGCACGCTGGGCTTCAGAAGCAATAGGGCACCAGAGTTTGAGGGCCCCAAAGGCAGCAGTTTTTGTTCTGAGAGTTGGCTGAACCAAAGTGCCAGAATCCTGTTGTGTAGGATTTGGGGATTTGGGGTGTGCTGGGGTGGATAGGGTACTTAGTGTCCTGACCCAGTGGCTCCAACTCCTTGGAACTGGACATAATTTCTGTACAAGCAGGAGCCGTTGAGGATAAGTAGGACCTTGGTTTCACAAGCCCTAATTTGGGAGAGACCTTGGGTAACAAGGCTGACTGGGCTGTGCCTGTCCCGAGGCCACGTCTGCTGGCGGATGAAGGCATAATGGTGCCTAGCACAGCTGCAGTGGAAATATGTGATCTGACCTTCCCACTTGCCTCCTTGGGCTGCACCATGACAACATTGTATTCAAGGGACAGGTTGAGGACTTTGGTGGCCAGCAGGCGGCGAGTGGTAGTGTCACAGGCTTGGAAGCATCCCTCAGCAACTCTCCACTGGTGGTGTAGGCCCAGAGGCAGCAGGTGAAGTGGGCTACATTGTAGGCCCACTCCCCTGGGACACCAGAGTTCTTCTGGCTCTGCTGGTGGCTGCCTCACTGTGGCAGGCCACAAGAAGCTGACTCTTGGGGCCACAGGCTGCCAGGTGGATGCCAAGTTCCTGCTTTCCTACCTGCCTGCCTGTGCCTGTCCTGCCGCCACCTGTTCTGAGCCACCAAAATAACGGGGAAAAGTTCCAAGGGGAGGCCCCAACCAAGCCTCCCAGAGGAGGGGAAGGCTCTCCCTTCAAGAATGCATGTCTGCCAGCAGAGGAATGGAGATCTCCTCATAGAGGCCCTTCAGCTGTAGGGCTGCATCAGTGCCCTCATACATGCACCAGGCTTCTCCCTGGTTCTCCAGGGGCAGGTGACACAGCAATGAGAAGTCAGCCTCATCCCTGAAGGCCAAACTAAAAAGGGACACCCTGTTGCCCAGTGCCTGACAGATGTTGGAGAGGATCACTCTAGGGGTCATCACACTGGCTGTGGGCTCCCCATCTGTCAGGAAGATGATGAGACGGATCCTCCCCACATTGCAGCCCTGACCAGTCTCTGGAATGCTGTGGTTTAGCAATGCTATGCTGTAGCAGAGCTGCACTGATGTTGGTCCCTAATTGGGAAGCAGACCGTGAGACCATCTTTTCTAGTTATTTCTATCCCCATTGCAGACACCTTAGACACCTCACCAACCTCTCAGGCTCAGTCATTTCTCATCTTTGCTCAGACTGTTTCTGCTGCTTATCCTTCCCAACACCCCTGCCCCCACACGGGTTCCCTGAGATCTGACAGTGGGGCCCACATGTCCTTGGCTTTTATCACTCCCTGTCTCAGACTACGATTTGCCTGTTTCCTGGGGGGATATCTAATTCTCTAGTCAGACAGGCATCTCCCCAATGATAGCAACCCCACCTCCATGCTATAGGGGAAGGAAGGGCTGAGTTTACCAGAGGTGGCGGGTAGGGGAGACTTCAGTACTTCTCTGAGAGATGATTGATCAAAAGCCAGAATCAGGGCAACAGCTTGACCAAGTGCGTGGAAATACATACATAGATTATTGATTTTTAAAAGTTTTGGCAAATTTTTCTGAGTACGTGCTTTAAAGAAACTCAGGGCCAAAGAAGAATGTGCCCTAAAATACATAGTGCTATGTTCTTTCAACTAGGAAAGGGGACGCGGAAGGATGAAGGGACATATTTGTATAAAATATAATAGTGATGTTTCAGGTATTGTGAGAGGTGAGGTGGATGGGGGAACAAAGGGAGCATTTCAAAAATTCCCCATATCTGGGGCACCTGACTGGCTCAGGCAGTAGAGCACGTGACTCTTAATCTCAGGGTCATGAGTTCGGGGCCCATGTTGGGCATGGGGCCTACCTAAAATAGAAAAATAAATAAATAAACAAACAAATAAATAAATAAATAAAAAGGAATTCCCCACATTACCACAGCCCATCCATTTGAGTGGGTAGGTCTACACTTACAACCACCAGCTTCCATGTGACCCAGGTAGTCCTTGGTGCTGTGGATGTTCTGGATGCTAGCTAGACGCTAACTGAGTCAGAAAAGGTGATGACTTAGAAGTGGTCGTTGACGCCACCCAGGATCACATTCATGGCCTTTTCAGTCTGTGGGATATGGGTGAAATGAAGGAGATGGACCAAGGCTGGAGGTCTTGCTCAAGACTGAAAAGTTATTTCTATACAAGGTACTAAGGCCTAAGTGTGGTATGGTTTTAAGACTCTCTGACTCCGGCACTCCGTAAGTCTAGAATTCTCGGGGTCAAAATGCTACAGGCCCTATGGATCTAAGCCTAGAACTGCACTGTCCAATGGAAACTGCTAGCCACATGTAGCTTCTTAAATGTAAGCTAGTTAAAATTAAAGGAAAAATGATAAATTAACTTTCCTTTACTTGCAGTAGTCACATTTCAAGTGCCCAATAACCACACGAGGGTTATTGCAGAGCAGTGGGTACTACTGTATGGGACACCTCAGAACTTTAGAACATTTCCATCATCAAGATAGTTCTATTAGACAGTGGTGGTCTAGAAGGTTCAAGTTCCATGCTTTCATGGTGCTAAGACCCTGTGTGTTCCATGGTTCCCGGACCCGACGACCCAGGATTCAGTGATTCCAGGACCGTAAAGCTTAAGAGCTTTATGATTCTGGGTCTTTATAACTTCCTTTAAGTGACTTTGCAAGCTCTGGTTCTGCCCTATGTAATCTGTTCTTTTACCTCACTTCCATTTCTTCCAGGCGGATCCCCTCCTCAGTCCCCAGACAACCCAGATCCCATTCCCCCCCCTCCCAAACTTTGCTCTTATTGTGCCCTTTAGGTGACAGACCCTTCCACTTCCCCTTTACTTATTCATATCTTCACTGCTCCTTCTCTGGGCAGCTCTTCCTTGATTGCTTACTCTGACCCATGCCCCTTGTACCCAGATAGCCCCTGTCCCAGATGGTTTGCTGGCTGTCATATGTAGAATGTTTTCATTTTCCACACTGATATTGAGCCCTCTGAGGACAGGGCTTTGAATACTTCTTCCTTTTGGCTCCCTTCTCCGTAACAATACCTAGCATAGGGCTAGGCACATAAGAGTTTCAGGGAACAGGGAATGTAGGTCCTAGTATTAGGTACCTCTTACAGGGCACTTGTTATGTTTCAGGCACTGTGCCAAATACTTGGATGCATCAGCTCATTTAATCGTCATAGCAACACAATGGAAAAGGTACTGATATTATACCCAATTTATCAGTGACAACACCGAGGCTCAGAGAGGCAGAGTGACTTGCTCAAGGTCACACAACTAGTCACTGATGAACCACGGATGCAAATCCATATTTTGGAGGTGTTAAACATTATGCCTTCCAAGTTTTATATTGTTATAGATTTCAGAGACCACAGGGAATACCACTTGTGACCCACCTTTCTCTCCACCTTAAACTGATAGAAGATGCCTTGAATGCTTTCAAGGGGATCAGAGTCTTTCCTGCCACAGGATGAGCTCAGGGTAGAGGTCACACGTTCTGGAATAGGGAGCTGAGGTCTTCCTCAAGACTGAAAGGTTATTTCTATACAAGGTACTAAGGCCTAAATGTTGCATGGTTTTAAGGATTTAGCCACTCATTCTTGTTTTCATTCAGAGGACTGAAACATAGAGCATGATGGCCCTTCCTGAGAATCTCCTGCTAACCAGAGACAAATCGTGTTTTTAGAAGTATGTCATTTAATCTATTGAGATTTTCCAGCTATCTGTCTGTTATTGATTTCTAGTTTATTCCACATGGTCTGAGAGCATATATTTATTGTATGATTTATACTCTTTTACTTTGTTAAGGCGTGTTTTATGGCCCATGATGTAGTCTATTTTGGCAAACATTCCATGTGAGCTTGAGATGGATGTGTATTGTGCTGCTGTTGGATGAAGTACTGTGTAGATGTCAATTATTCAACTGATTAATGGTGCTGTTCTGTTAAACTATGTCCTTACTGATTTTGTGCCTGCTGGATCTGTCCATTTGTGATAGAAGGGAGCTGAAGTCTCTAACTATAACAGTGGTTTCATCTATTTCTCCTTGCAGTTCTAACAGTTTTTGCCTCATGTCTTTTGACGTTCTATTGTTAGGTGCATTACACATTAAGGATTGCTGTGTCTTCTTGGAGAGCCATTATATAATTATAGTTATATAAGATTTTTTTTTTTTCAGTCTGAAAGCAGTCATGGTTTATTAACTGGCCAAACTGCAGAAATAGGGATGGCAGATACCTTAGTTTATCCTTCTAATAAGCTGTTCATCTGGTCTTCCCTATTGCCAGCAACTGCGCCTCCCACAAAATGGGTGATCCTTTTCTTCATTCCACTTCATGGAGAAGATAATTTGCAGGGCCCCTGGAAGTTTTTTGGTTCTTTGAAATACTTTACAGTAATACTGTAGGTCTTGTGAATCAGATCCTCCATGCAAACAATGCCATATTTACCAAGAGATCAACCCGTGTGTTATCTGTCAGGGAAATTTGCTTTGTTTCTTTAAACAATGCATCTCCTTATCCCTGATGACTTACTTGCTCTAAAGTCTGTTTCATCTGAAATTAATATAGCTGCTCCAGATTCTTTGTGATTAGTGTTCAGAATGGGATATCTTTTTTTCCCATACCATGGCTTTTAGTCTATCTGTGTCTTTTTATTTAAAATGGGTTTCTTGTAGACAACACAGAGCTGGGTCTGGTTTTGTTTGTTTGTTTTTGTTAGGTTCTGTTTTGTTTTAATCAACACTGATAGTCTCTGTCATTTAATACATGTATTTAGACCATTCATGGTTAAAGTGATTACTGTTATGGATAGATTAATATTTGCCATGTTTTTAACTGTTTTCTATTTGCTACCCTTGATTTTCTTTTCTTTTCCTTCCTCCCTCCCTCTCTCCTTTCCTTCCTTCCTTCTTTCTTTCCTTCCATCTCTCCTTCCTTCCTTCCTTCCTTTTCTCGGTCTTATACTATTTTTCTGTCTTCTGTGGTTTTATTTTTTTTTTCTTCTGTGGTTTTAATTGAGTGTTTTATATGATCCCATTTTCTCTTGTCTTTTAGCAGAGCCATTATGGTTTTAATTTTTTTTTCTTATTGATTGCCCTAGAGTGTGCAATGTGCTTTTACAACTAATCCAAGTCCACTTTCAGAAAACACTATACAGCTTCAAGTACCTCATGAAAGAATATTTCCAATTCATCCCTCCTGGCTCTTATATAACATTGCTGTCATTAATTTCACTTACCTATAAGCTGTATTCACTGGACACATTATTTCTCTTAGTATTTTCAGCAAACTCTTTTTGTTAGATCTATTAATTAAAAAAGAAAAGAGTTTCTTTTACCATAATTCTTTCCTTTCCTAACACTCTTCCTTTCTTTATGGAGACCCAAGTATATGAACTACACCATTTCCCTTCTCTCTGAAGAGCTTCTTTAAACATTTACCTGTGCAAGGCAGGTCTACTGGCAAAAAGTCCCTCGATTTTTGTTTGGCTAATAAAGTTTTCCTATCTCATTCACGCTGGAAAGACAATTTTGCTGTATACAGAATTCTAGGCTGGTAGTTTTTGAGGTTCCTTGTTTTGTTTTGTTTCTCTTCAACACGGTAAATATTTCATTTCACTCTCTTTTTGTTGTCCAATGTAATTCCTATTCTTGTTCCTGTATAAGTAAGGTGATATTTTCCGTGGGCTTTTTTTTTTTTTAAAGAAATTTCTCTTTGATTTTCTGCAGTTGGAATAGGATATGCCTATGTGTAGATTTTTTTTTTTTTTAATCCTGCATGGTGCTCTCTGAGCTTCCTAGACCTGTGGTTTAGTGGCTGTCATTTATTTTGGAGAATCTGTACCCAGTAATCCTTCAAATATTTCTTGTGTTATTTTCTTTCTTCTCCTCCTGGTGTTCCCATTACACATATGTGATAGTTTTGTAATTGTATACAGTCCTTGGATATTCTCTTTTTTCTTATTTTGTTTTACATTCTTTCTTCTCTTTGCTTTTCAGTTTGGGAAGTTTCTATTAACATATCCTCAGGCTTATTGACTTGTTCTTTGCCCATGTTCGGTCTCCTAATGAGCCCACCAAAGGCATTTTTCATTCCTGTTATGGTGTTTTATATTTCTAGCATTTACTTTTTCTTTTCTTAGGGTATCCATCTCTGCTTGCATTACCTGTCTATTCTTGCATGTTATCCACTTTTCCCATTAGAGCCCTTAGCATATTAGTCATGGCCACTTTAAATTCCAGGTCTAATAATTTCTCTGCCGTATCAGTCTGGTTCTGATGGTTGATTCATCTTTTTGCACTGTGTTTTGTTTTGTTTTCATTTTAGCATAGCTTGTAAGTTTTTGGTGAAAGCAGACATGATGTATGACGTAAAAAGATCCTAGGTAAATAGGCCTTTGGTGGGAGATTCTATGTTTATCCAGCCAGGAATTAGGTTGTGCTTGCTAGGTGCTAACAGTTGCATGTGTCAGAGGCAAAAATCTCTTTTAGGATCCTTGTTTTTGACTCCTCTATTGTCTTGGGTTTCTTGGGATAGTCTTTCTTAAAGACTCTAAGCTTCCAGTTCCATCAGCTATAATCTCCTGTTGTTATGCAGGAGTGCAGTGCATGTGGTGATATTGTGTGGGGGAAGGAGAAGCATTTCATAGTTCCATGCTCAGGTCTCAGTCTAAAAGACTGAGGGCAACTATGCCCCTGAAATATGACCTCCACAAGTGCTCCTCAGCTTTTTCCTGACCTTAGTTGGGATGGGTAGGCTAGAAAAGTTTGGAGTTGGGTATAGCCTTTCCCCTACACTTGAGACTACAAAAGACAGCTCTCAATATTTCCCTTCCCCCAGTTTGGTTACACTCTGGTATAATACAAGTTAGTAGACTTGGGCCCCATGGGCTCTATGGTTCAGAACTTTAAGGCCCATAGACTGTACTGCTCCACGTCACTTGGACTTTATCATTCTAGAGTCCCAGAGTATTGTAGTTCAAAACACTGCTTCCGGAACTTTATGGATTCAGGCTCTAAACTCAAAATCTCTTTGGCCTATGGCCCCAGCATTCCATTTTGAGGGTGCTCTGGTAGAAGGGCGACAATATTTTAAATCTAGATGGATCCGGGACTTTGTAGTTTCTAAACACTACAATGCCAGTGCACTGTATTTTTCTGGCTTTGAGGTAAAATAAACAAAATGAGACAAAACAAACCTATGGCCTCTGGAAGGTTCAGAGTCTAAATTGACTATGGTTTCCTTTTTATATGTTGACTCGGGTTTTATGACACCAGAGTTCTCCAGCTTGAAGGTTCTACGACTCTGGGCCCCTTGGTGATCTGAAGTGTTGTGGTTAAGGGTCTTGATGGTTACAGCCCCCTTGTCCAATGTTTCAATGTTGCCAGTATTCTGTGGTTTCAGGTCTACGTGGCTCCTGAATGTGCAAGGTATCAGGACCCCAACGTAGGCCTTGGCCTCTAAGATCCCAGGGTCATGGGAGGTAGAGTCTCTGGTCCCAGGGGACCACTGTTCCTGCACTCTCTGCTTTCTGAGCCTTCTAAAACAAGAGCTATAACAGGTCTGCCGGGTCCTTGTTACCTGCTTCATCGTGGTGCCAAACATAGAGCCAGCCGCTTGTATCAACAACGAATACCATGCTTTTCTTGACAGGTGGGAGGCTTCTGGGGGCAAAATAATGAATAAAATCACCCTCGTAAATCTGGACAAAAAGAAGTGAAACCAACAAGAAGTAGGAAAGGCAGTCTAAATCAGGTCCCCTCTTATTCTCCGGCATAACACCCTGTGCCTTTTTCCTTCCTAGGCCTTCTCTCTGCTTCTAGTTAAACAGGCATCTGTGCGATTGTTTGTTTCAGTGTCCACCTCCTCTGCCAGAGCTGTGTCTCTGCTGTTCAGGCTGTCAGCCCAGGGCCTGCCCCAGAACTGTGGAGTGAATGAGGCTGGCTTGTGGCCCAGGGCTCCAAGGATCAGGATCTCTGTAATATGTGAGTTCCTGTTCAAGAGAGCTGACTTGCACAGTCCTGAGGGCCCCTGGGGACATTTTGCCTGGGCTCCAGGAACTGTAAGTATTGTTTTAACCTCCCTCTATAGAGTGAGCCAGGGGCCCAGCTCCATTGCTGCCAGGGGCTGGGAGTTTGCAGGGCCTCCCTCTCTTCCTTAAGCCTCCTTTCTGCTGTTGCTGGGCAGAGTAGGCAGGGAAGGAGGGAGCAGAGGCTGAGTGAGCTGTTTGTTCAGAGGGGATTGGTTAGACCAGGTGCAGATGCCTTGGGCTGCCAAGGATGTGATTGGCTGCTGACCCCCTTCCCCCACTCCATCTCCCCTCTGCAGAGCTTGGGGGCTGGAACAGCTGAGGGAAGTGGAGGGGGGATGCTGGGAGGGCCCCCAGGGTCAGTGTCAGCTCAACCTAGGGAAGTATGGGCTTGCTGAGGGTCTGTGCTGCTCAGTAGTCTGAAGTAAGCTCTGCCTTGGGACAGCCAGCTTTACTCTCCTCTCTGCCATTCAGGCGCTCTCTGATCACAAGCCTGGACACACTATCTCCTCCTCTCTCAGGAGGAAAGGAGGATAAGGAAGGACATCTTGCTCTTTCCCTCCACTCCAGCCTTTGAGTTAATTCACATGTGCATGTGGGGGCTCTGTCTCCACTTTCTCCTGACGCTCTACAGCAGTTCTCAAAGGCCTGGGTCATCCACCATGCCATTGCCCAGGCCCAAGGCAGAGCCCAGCTGTCCTGAGATTCTTCCCATAACCTGGGCAGGTGAGAGTTTCTGGGAAAATCACATTCCTATCTCCTCATGGTCCCAGGCTCCCTGGTGGTCTCACACCTCACATCCTATAAGCCAGAGGCATGATCCAGGTCACCACCCTCTCACGCTCCCCTCAGCTGCCATGCCACCTCACTTGGAGGAAATGTTTCCTTTCCTTCCTAATGAAGAAAATTAATGGCACCAGGCCATGTCCCTTGGACTGCCCACCCCACCCTTGCACAGGGTTCACACACCCATACACCTCTTCCTCTATTAAGGACAAAACAGTCTTGTCCTGGACCCCATGCCCTTCCAGGCTCCAGCACCTCCTCCGCCAGTCAGACCCTTCTCTCCAACCTGCCCCACACAAGCTCCTGGGTCTTCTTTAAGATATGGAAAGTGTTGTGTCTTTTCCATCCACTAAGACAATCCCCACTGATCCCAGCCCCATCAAAACTTCAAACCATCTTCTCTCCTCCCTGCAGCATACCAAGGTAATGGAATCATCGCCCACAGTGGTCTGCTCACGTCCAGTTTATTCCTCTCCACACCACAGACTGGCTTCAGCCCCCACCACGCACTGACTCCTCTCTCACTAAAGGCAACAGTACCTAGTTGGTTTCCAAACTCAATAGGTGTATTTTGATTCTCTTTTTAAATTAATTTTTTATTTTTTTATAAACATATAATGTATTATTAGCCCCAGGGGTACAGGTCTGTGAATCGCCAGGTTTACACACTTCACAGCACTCACCATATCACATACCCTCCCCAATGTCCATAATCCCACCACCCTCTCCCTGCCCCCCTCCCCACCTCCACCTTCAGTTTGTTTTGTGACATTAAGAGTCTCTTATGGTTTGTCTCCCTCACGATCCCATCTTGTTTCATTTATTCTTTTCCTACCCCCCAAACCCTCCACGTGGCATCTCCACTTCCTCATATCAGGGAGATCATATGATAGTTGTCTTTCTCCGATTGACTTATTTCACTAAGCATAGTACCCTCAAGTTCCATCCACGTCTTCGCAAATGGCAAGATTTCATTTCCTTTGATGGCTGCATAGTATTCCATTGTATATATATACCACATTTTCTTTATCCATTCATCTGTTGATGGACATCTAGGTTCTTTCCATAGTTTGGCTATTGTGGACATGGCTGCTATAAACATTCAGGTGCACGTGCGTGTATTTTGATTCTTATCAGACTGCATCTCCCTGATGTATTTCACGACTGGCGATCACTTTTGGTCCCAAGAAGAATCTTCTGTCCTGGGAAACTCAGATGGCAAACTCTCCTTACTCTCCGACCAGTTCTCTGGCCCGTTTGATTCAGTCTCTTACATGAGTTCCATTTTCTCCCCCTGTCCCTTAAGCAGTGCTTTCTGATTTTTTTTTCAGTCATGGCAAGCAAAGAGAATGATTATGCTTGTGTAACACAATGGAGGGAAGTGGTGGGGATATAGAGCTCTGAGCAGACTGCTGGCAGCTGGCGGAGCTAGACACCCAGAGAGCTGAGGAGATCAGTGGCTGCTGGACCTTAGCAGTTGCCATCGTGGATCTGCTCTTCTGGCTCAACACATTCTCCCTGGGTCACTTCCTTAGCTCTTGTACTGTCAGTCCCTGAATCTCCATGATGACCCAGTACCACATCTTTCTCCTGTCCAATGCTCTCCACTCTTCCCCCTCCACAACTGCATACCTGATCACTGTTGGACCCATTCCCTTGGACGTCTGAAGATGCTTCCAACGTATTTTGCCCAAACAATAAATTGCTATATTTCCCCCATCCTGCCTTTGTCTGCCTTTGTCCTTTACAGACCCTATCATCCACATGGTCACTCCAGATACAAACCTGAGCATCACCCTTAAATCTTCCTGTGCCCCTCACTCCCCACATCCAACCAGCCACCAATTCCTGCTCGTTTAATCTGCTGGATATATCCCAGGCCCACCCCTCCTCTCCATTCCAGACTAACAAAACCCAAATTCAAGACTTCTTTCTCTTTGGTTCTGCTCCTTCTTTTGCGGCCCCTCCCATCCATGCATCTTTGCAGCAGCTGCTCAGTCAGGTCTTCCTAAACTCAAACCCCATAATGTCATTCCCTTTCATGGCTCCCTTGTCACCTTCAAGACTTATTCCATGTTCCTCATCACACCCCTGCAGCACTCGTAGCCTTCGGTCTCACCTCTTACCATTTCTTGTGTCTCAAATCAATGCTCCAGAAACTCCAGCCTACGTGAGGCTCCCTAAACACTCCTGGATAGTTCCAGCCTTCATTCCCTGTGTCGTGCAGGCCTCGGTTGGCTAGAATGTCTTTCCCATTTCACAGCCCCTCTCCCAACTTGGCATCCATTTTTGCATTCTTTCACCCAGCTCAGTCTTCACTTCTGCCAGGGAGCCCTCCCTGACCACCTTCTTCCCTCATGATGACATCCGTCCCAGCTTGTGTTGTCATTGACAGAGAACTTTTCATCGTGTGTGTGCGTGCGTGCGTGTGTGTGTGTGTGTGTGTGTGTGTCTGTTTCACCCAGAGACAGTGAATAGGATCTCCGTGTGATTCACTTCAGGGTTCCCAGCATCAGCCAGCAGCGGGCATGAAGCAGATTAGGTACCCAGGGAGTCCCAACTGAGTGAATGAAGGGGTGAATGTGCAGGACTTTGAAAGATGGGCATACTCAAGCAGGAATGGGAGGTCAGTGGAGGGGTTCTTGGTAGGGGATGCAGGAGCCAGGGCACACAGTAAATGGGAGTATCTGTCTTGCTATTTAGTGCCTAATTCCATCTGTTCTGATTATGTTTCTGCTCCAGACAATGGTCAAAAAGGTAAAGAATGAGGACGCAGACAAATACCTCAATTAACACACCCACAGGATAGAACGATAGAACACCAGGTTAAGGCCCCTGCTGCCACCTACTGGCAGGGTACCCTCAGCTCTTATTTGGAGAGGGAGACTTATTTTATTCCCCCTCCACAACAGGCTATACCATACCTCTGTGCCTCTGCACACACTGTCCCCTACATCTCTCTGCATCTGCTATTCCCTTCACCCCAACGACCCCGGCAGAGGTAGAGTCTCTTCATATTTTTCCCAGGCTAATTTAAAGGCCAACTCCTTTAGGAAGCCTTTCCTGGAACCCTCCTCAGTGGTATCTGTGCATAACCCATTACAGATTTATATGCAGCATTTAGAACCGTTTATGACTGCCACAGGTCTATGTATCTGGCTGCTTAGGGGCTAGGATGTTCCAAAGGAAGACTAGGGGTTGTGTCCACCTCATTTCTGAGTTCCCAGAATCAATGAGGACAGGACTGGGCTAGAGTAGCTTAGCTCTGCTTGGTGGTGATGTATCCACATATGAATGAATGAGTAAATATGTGCAGGGGGAGAGGTGTTACCAAAGCACTATATTAGCCCAGAGCAGACGGGAAAATTGTCAATGGGCTGGGCTCATCGGAGAGGTAGCATTTGAGCAAGGTCTTCAAGGACGAGGACCAATGGAGAAAGGAGGGAGAAGACATTCCCAGGGCAAGCAGAGAGTATGAGCAAATACTCAGGCACAAATGAGTGGCAAATTCAGGTGTTTTTAAAGAAAGGCATGTGGTGTGGTGTGGTGTGGTGTGGTGTGGGGCAGCTGGAGGGTGGTTCGTGTGCTGCAGGTGGTGAGAGATATGGCAAGAAAGGAAGGCTGGGACCAGACATCTCAGGCAGCCATGCAATCGTTGTTGTCAAGCCAAGGGTCTTGGATCCATGCTGGAACCCGCTGGCAGAGCATGAGATCTCTGCATATTCTTCATGAATGTGTGAGCTCAGAATTAAGGGCTCCCTTAATTCTGGCTCAGGTGAGGCAAAAAGAATTTTTAAAACTTAGAGACGGCACGAAAGTGTGAGGGAACATGAGAGTATCAGAGCTGCAGAAAGTGTGAGAGCCCCATGAGTGTGAGAGACCAATTACTGGCCAATGGTTCACTTTCCAAAAGGACTGGTTAAGAGTGGGCTATAACTTACTTCAACCAAGAGTGGATTCATTTCAGGGTGCCTGGGTGCTTCAGTGGGTTAAGCATCTGCCTTCGGCTCGGGTCATGATGCCAGGGTCCTGGGATGGAGCCCTGTGTTGGGCTCCCTGCTCAGTGGGGAGTTTGCTTCTCCCTCTGCTTCTCCTTCTGCCTCTCCCTCTGCCCCCCACCCCGCCCCTCCTCCTGCGCTCATTCGCTCTCTCTCTCTCTCTCTCTCTCTCTCAAATAAGTGGAGTCTTAAGGAAAAAAAAAGGAATGGGTTCATTTGGAGTTTTATTCAATTTATGCAGTTCTGAGTCTCCAACACTTAGAGGAAGCACATGTGTCTCCTATGGTGTGAAGTCATGTGTCCCTATACATCATTCTGTCTGTGTTCACTTGTCCTCACTGATCTCTAGGGAAAAACAGATGAGCAGTTTGCAGAAGCCAGATTACTGGCCAGGCCTGTCTGACTCCAGAGCCAGACTCTTTCCATTCCATTTCCATTTCCATTCCCCCTCACCTGCACATCTCCAGCGATGCCCTCCATGACTCCATGTGCTGGACCACAAAGTGGGCCATGGTGCCTGAGCTGGAAAAGGCAGACTGGTCTTGCAGTGCTGGGCAGAAGGTGATTCAGACACAGGTCTCTCCCCTCTCAATCCTGGTAGATGGGGACGAGTCAGCCTCACCTGTATGGGTGGGAAGGATTGAGATGGGTGGCATGGAGGGCTCACCAGGCAGAAAGGGATGACATCAAAAGGGGTAATCTCTGAGCATGGGGAAAAGCAAACCCTGCACCACCCGCTGCTCCTCCTGCTTACAGCACCCTTCCACTTGCCCCAGTGCTATAATCCTCTCCAAATCCCACAGCTAGCTCCTCCTGCTCTGCCTCTTCCAGCAGGCCCAGGCTGACCCACCCAGCCCTCCCCACAGCTCCCAGGCTCTAGAAGTCTGACCCTCACCCACAACCTTGCCCTGGCTCACTTGCTATCCGTCCCTGGGCCCAGTCTCTGGAGGAGTGTCATGTCCCCACCTAGACCAGAGACCTGGGTCTCCTCCCACAGAGGCTGTGTGGTGTGTGCTGTGGAGAGAGACAAACATGGAAATGGGGCCTAGGTCCCCTCCCATGCCCCTTACTGCTGTGGAAAATTGCAGTCTAGCAAGGTTCTCCTCTAGGGTAGAATTTCATGTGTTTTCTGACACACACAGCCCGCCACCCCGCCTTCTGACTCTCAGAATCACGTGTGTGAAGAAGGCTTTTAGCGCCTCATGAAATCACAGATGATTTTCTGGTCCCGGATGTTTGCTGAGCAGGCCACAAGATCAGCTCTTCTGGAATTCCAGCCCAAGACAAATGTCCATTTAGACATGTCTCTGTGCCTCCCTTTTTCCAGAAAATGGAACCTTGGGAATTCTGCTTCCCCCCTTCTTCCTGTTACAGCTGTCAGGAAGCTTAGGGGCAAACTGAGCCCCCATACTCTCTGAGACTTCTGCTTACATACATTCCCTTGGCTTCCTTCCTTTCAGAGGTCTTTGTTCTGTTTTTTTCCCCACAGGATTGGCTCTACCCTCTGCTTTAACCTTTAAGGAGAAGGGGGAGGGAGCTGCCATTTATAGTTTAGGGCTTAAGAGTGCAGGCTGCAAGGACTCAGATGCTCCCTGTGGGCCCCTGGACAAGTTATTCACACTCTCTAAGCCTCAGTCTCCTCATCCGTAGCACGGGAATTATAATAGCTCCTATTTCATAGACAGCGTTTGTGGGGATTAAATGAGACCATTTACATAAAGCACTTGGAACCATACTTGGTTCTTAGTACGTGCTCAATAACGCTAACAATTACAGTTATCATCACATCTTCATGAGACTCTGCACCAGTGATTTGAAGGAAGGCATTTTCTCAAATTCTCACAATGGTCCTGGGCTGTGGATGGCATCTCCAGATTGTACTGGTGGGAATAGTGAAGCGGAGCAGTGGAGTCATTTGCCTGTGGTCCCACCTTAGGAAAAGGTCAAAGCTGGGTTCAGAACCCAGGTCTGTGTGTGTCTGTCTCTCTCCTTTATGTATGTATACCACCCTGCCTCTCTGAGTCAGTAGGCTCAAATGAGGCAAGGCCTCCAAGCTAAACAGCTTGGTGAGGGTGGCCACATGGCATGAGTGGTTTCTCTGCGCCTGTCCATTCATCTCCCAGAGGAGGTGGGTAGGCCCGCTCAGTGGTTTTCCAATCTGGCTGGATACCAATTTCACCTGCAAATGGGTTAAGAACATAGATTCCTGGGCCCCTCCCCAACCTACTGAAGCAAAATCCAGAAGGGTGGGTGGGGCCCAGGAATCTGTATTTCTAACCGCTCACATAGTGATTCAGATGTAGCCAGTCTGGACTTCAAACATCTGTAGATGAAATTTTTTATATTTTGTTATGTTTTTCACCATACGGTACATCATTATTTTTGTTTGTTTGTATGTTTTAGACTGAGCCACCCAGGTACTCCATCTTTTTTTTTTTATTGTTTTATGTTAGTCACCATACTATTAGTTTTTGATGTAATGTTCAAAACGAGGCTGGCAGCCACGACAGTTCTCTGGCCTAGAGAGCCTGAGATGGTATCCTCAAGGGCAGCCTGCACTTCACACTGTTTTCCCATTGCCCTTGCATTCTCAGTGGTCATTTAAGGAATGTAGTTGTGGCTTCTGCCACGCTTAGTGGTATAAATACCAAAGGTTATAGATCAACCTATTCTGTCATTCCCTCATACACACTTACCTACTGATCCATTCATCATTTATTCATGTTACATTCATCCACTCCAGCCTTTACTCACACATTCATACTTTCCATTTTCATTCACATTCTCTCTGTGTCAATCAGAATGCTATAAAAAAAAAAAACACAGATGGCACACTCAGTGGTAACTGAGGATAAATTAGTGAAGACATAATTCAGAGGTGGGTAGAGTTAAGGGAACGTACAAGGGATGGCCAGATACCCAAGGACTAATCAGCTAAAAGTCATTTCCACTCCAAAAAATTGAAGGATCAAGGGAATAGGTTATAAGAAAGAGGTGAATTTTATAAATGGGGACATGGGCTGCCCACAGGAGTTTATGGCCGTTGTTAGGGGGCCTCAGACAAGGTCAAGAGACAACCCAGTGGGTAGGAATACGTGAGAATAAATACTTTAAATTCTCTGATCATCCTCCATCTCATGCCAATTTGTCTTCTTTGCAGAACAAGGGAGCCGGAAGGATCAATCAAGAAAAGTCATTATCCTAGGGCACAGAATGGGATAGACATGGTTCAAGAGGAGCAAATGGGAAATAATGAAGAGAGCCCAGTACCATAATCTCCTGAGCTGCCTTTGTTCCTGATTAGGGAGGCCCAGTAATCTGTTCTACATCAAGATCTTCTAGTGAGCTCACATTACCTGGTGAACTGAGTGCAGGATCACATCCAGTGCCACGAAGTCTACTATATTAGGAACACCCAAGTTACACGGACTCCACCAATGTATGCCAGCATGGTAAGAGTGAGGTCAACTTCAGAGTTCATGTCAGAGGTGACTCTGGCCTCTCAGCTCAGAGCAAGCAGGTAGGAAGGACCACATGCACCACAAGGCATTGGCTGAGCTGGCCCAGGTAGGCTGCGGGTGGGTGGTACAGCCACTGCCTAAGGATGGGAGGACTCAGTGACAGGATAAAATCAGGTTCTGGTCACACCTGCTTTTCCACCTAATCAGTCGCTCTATCTTGATCTATCCTTAAAAGGCTCCCATGTGCTAACAGCATCTGCACCTCTGTTTAGCTTGGTGTTGGCACTTCAGGTTGCCCAGGTCTGGCTGCTCCTCCAGCCCCATTACAGTGAGCACCCCTCACCCCTGCCTGACTGGTTCCCCTCCTCTGTCTCTCACAATTCTGTGCCTTTTCTTGTGCAGTTTCCCCCACCTAGGCTGCCCTCCTCTGTCAGCTAGTGACCATCACATGCCCTGACAGCTGCCCTGATATGCTGCATCCTTGAATCTATTTTCTCCCTTACTCAGGGCTGATGCCACAGCCCCCACTCCCACTTCAGGCCGTCCCACTCTCAGCACTTGTCACCCACCAGTTACTGCTCTTTTCCTGCCCTCTCTCCCTTACCCCCTTCTATGGCCCAGCTCCTGCATGATTTGGTCTAGGAAGCCTTCCCCTGTCCTCTTCTGCCTTCCCAGACCGGTCACTGTGCCTTGTGCTCCATCTTTCCCAGTTCTGGCCCATCTCTGACTATGGCATGAATCTCTTCTCTCCAACCAAGCATAGTAACCTGCACATTACGGTTATAAAATAAAATAAGGCACACATTTTCCTTAGTGTTGTCCCTGTGGTTGGGCTTGTTAACACAGGTATTGTTCTTGCTGGGAGGATGGCTTGGGTAGAACCAATGGGAAATGGGGTGCAGGAAGAAGGGAGCACTCTCTTTTATTGGGCAAATGTGCACAGTCACAGCACCATCTGCTTCCACAAGTGTGGCCTCACTCAATCTTTATAACAGCTTTGTGGGGTGGGCATTACCATTAACAGTTTGTGAAACCTGAGGAAGCTGAGGCCCAGGGAGGAGAAAAGAGCAGCCCCGGGTCATGTAACCAGTAAAAAAGAGTTAGGATTGAAAACCAGGCTTTCCTGCCTGTCCCTCATCATCCCCCACTGCAGAAGTGGTAGTGTCCTAAGCAAGGCACTGCACTGGAAGGCCTGGTCCTCATGGCTCCCTTTCTCTTACCTTCAGACTGGCAGGCTCCCCTTGAGGTGGACTCAGACCTTTGACTCCCACCCGTCTTACTCCTCAGAGCAGAATAGAGGGTACTGGTGGCATCACCCTTTCCCTATGGCACCACCTGTTGCCAGGAGTCTCTTGGTTGGGGCCAGCTATGGCTTTGCCCACACAGCTCAATACCCAGTTTGGACACATGGCCATCTCCACAATGCATACTGCCCTTGCACACAAATGTGTGCATGTACGGGTAAATGCCTGGCACCAACCTTCATACTTATGTGCACAGTGCACAATGCAGTTTTCAAAATACTTTCCCATTGAGTGTCACCAATAATTAATCACAGAAGATGTCACCCAGTGTGGATCAGGGAGCACTCTAGGTGCTTCTTTTCATCCACTATCCAACGTCTCATCCACTATCACACAGGACCAGGCTGTGTGAACTAATGTTGTTCACACCTTACAGGTAGGAGATCCAAGCTGAGAGAGAAGAAGGGATGTGTCTTAGGTACATAGGGACCATGTAAGGAAGCTAGAACAGTTTAACCCCTGTTGCCTACTTCCCAATCAAGGGCTCCTTCTACCAGAGGACACTGACTGCTGACTCATAATCCATAATCAGAACATGTGTACATAATACCTATATTTAAACATGTATGCTTATGTCTATGCATTTGTGCTGATGTTCGTCACACACCATCTGTGACTAATAATAACATGCCTTTGCAAAAGAAGAGTGAATCACTTGCTCATTTGGACTCATAGCTCTTCACGGTTTCTTTTGGTGCTGTCATTTTTTCCTTCACTGGACTGGTTGTGTGTTGAAAATGGGACGCTCTGAGACCCATGAATACTGTAGTCTCTAATGCATGTTTGTTTAATAAACAAGTAAATGTCTGAGTGAGTTGAGTGGGTGTCTGTGACAGATTGGGATGCTATATGGAGCCTCTGACAAACCCCAAAAGGAAAATCAAAACACAA